GAGAGGATGTAGCTCTTGTAGTTTCCTACACAGATAAATATCAAGAGGGAAAAATAAAAATTCTGTCCACTCCTTTGTCTAAACTGAAATATCCCAACCATAATTAAACAGATGTTTTTCTCACGGTAACTCATCTTTTTAGTTTGGCCAACTCTTATTCATGTCATCATCTTCACCTGTCATTAATGTTTAGTGACATTCTGAATGTGTGAAAACAATTTAAGACATGTGATCCCCAAATTTTGTTGTTTTTGCCATGTCATCTTTTAGTGACTCCCTATTTTATTTTGAAGGCCTGTCCCTCATGTAGCTCTATTTCCTGCCTTTGCTCATTTCCCACTATCCTTATTGTCTAATTTAGTCTATATGAACCTTATACTAGCCATTTCCACCTGGTGGGTCTTTAGCATGTATGACTTCTCAGTCTGTCATTTTATCAAGCTTTTATCCTGTGTCTTCTTTCAGCTTTTATAAAACGACTTAGACTTGGAATTTGCTGCTAACGCTCTGCATTGTGTTTTGTTAACAACTTTATGGTCAATAAAGTTACTATTTGCAACCTGCCTCTCTACCTCCTTGTTGTGGTTTTGGCTAAAATGCAATAGATATTAGCAAATAAGACACAATAAACAGTATTGCACAAATAACAAGAATGGAACTGAAAAGAATGAACAAGTGAATAATGCTGAACTGCATGTTGTATGTTTCTAATAATGTCCACAAAGTTATTAATATTGAAGTAGAAGCCTTACTTTGCTTAAACTTGGGTCTTCTTGTATTCTATAGCAATGATTTAGCCAGCTGATTTATCATCAACCATATGGAAACTTCTATCGCTGTACTTGATTATAAAAAATACATTCAGTACTTTTTCTTTAGTTTTGCTATCATGTTTTCATGCTGTGCTTCTGTGAATACTTCTCATTGCTTATATTACATTGTAGACTAAAAAAAAAACTAAGTACGTTTCAAAATTGTTCCATTAAGGAAGCCGGCATGATTGTACCATCCTTTTTAAACAGAAAAGAGAAAGTAAAACAAGTGTTAAAGCGCAAAAATATTACATTAAATATTCCAGGATGCGACATTATAATTGTGTTGTTGTTTATATTTTTTTGACTGTGTTGGCATAATTGTGCTTTAACAGTTATTGCAAAAGAATTTTGTGAATGAAAAAGAAGTGAAGTAATTAAGGGGAAAAGAGAGAAGAATGAGCAACAGTAAACAAAGAAGAGCAGGGTGAACTACAGCGCAAGAGAGGAAAGAGGCAATGAATGAGATCTCGTAGCTCTTATAACAATCGACCACTAATGTCAGGATGTTATATCCATGTAGATCTGATAATGACAGTAATATATCCACCCTGAGCACACGTGTGCACACACGCACGCACACACACACACACACACACACATACAAATAAATGCATGTGTACACACACGTTGCCTATGTATCATTTTTCTTGAGCCCTGGGGTGGTGCAGGCCAGCAAAAAGAACTCAGTTAGTTGATCATGACTCTAATATACAACCACCATCAACACCATAAATCTGCAACACACATACACACACACACACACACACGCACACACAAAGCAGGAGGCTATGCACGCCCAATAAGTACACACACCGCTCTCACACAAACACCCACACAAAATCAATAGTGTAGACAGGAACCATGCGTGGTGATTCAGTGCACCCCCGTCCCACCCACGGTCTTTAACTCTGCTGTCGAACAGATGTGTGGCCTTGGACTTGAAATCCTTTTTCTACAGGATGAGGAGAATTTAAATTGTGCAGTGAAAAAGAATTCAGTCTCAAACACAGTGCAAAATAAACTCTGAGAAAACTAGCTGCATGCCTATTTATTTTTTCTTTTAACAATAGTGCCATTATAAAGTAACCTGAGATATTTGGGTTTTTTTTTTTCTTACATGCAGATGTGGGATGTAGGAATGAAGGCTCTGCTGTCTTTGTACAGACTTAATGCAAAATAAGGGTAATCAGTGGAACAAACTGGCCATCTGATCTTAACTCTATTCAAAAATATGAGGCGAAGGCAACCAGTGTGAAACCCAGGGAAGTAGTAACAACATTTATATATTTGTACCATTTGAAATTCTAAGTGTAGTCTATAAAAAGATATTTAAATATTCAGAAAATTTTCCTTATTGCTGAGCCATGCTGCCAATACAAAGTTTGTACACACTGAGCACATGAAGTGCATACTGTATGTCTTTTGAAACTGAGACTACGCCGAGTAAAGAGTAAATATATGTGGTTAATCATCAGTTTCTACTTGGAAAGGAACATTTCATTCAAACAAAAACTGATTCTGCCAAACAAAAATGATTCTCTTTGGCATCGCTTATCACTCAGCTGTGATCACTGAGCATTGATTGGCTGTAATAATAATAATGGATTGGATTTATATAGCGCTTTTCAAGGCACCCAAAGCGCTTTACAATGCCACTATTCATTCACTCTCACATTCACACACTGGTGGAGGCAAGCTACAGTTGTAGCCACAGCTTCCCTGGGGCAGACTGACAGAAGCGAGGCTGCCATAGCGCGCCATCGGCCCCTCTGGCCAACACCAGTAGGCGGTAGGGTAAAGTGTCTTGCCCAAGGACACAACGACCAGGACAGAGAGCTCGGGGATCGAACCGGCGACCTTCCGGTTACAGTACCGCTTCTAAAAGATGTGCTTTCTTTTACCACCATTATATTTATGTAATGATGATAAAATGAATTAAAAGACGTCTTTTAAGCAGCGGCCCCAAACCTGAAGGAAAAATGTAATTCGCCATTTAAACGAAACACAAAAAAACAAAAACACCATGGTCTGCTGCTAATTTTTAAAGAAAGGAAATTAACTAACATTAAATCCAAGTTTTTGTTGAGAATGTTGTTGAGAATGAAGGGAAAGGAAAACCATAACAGCAATTCAATCCTTTAACCGTTTTGAAGATGCTAGCATCCATTTTTAGTTCATAAAACAGTTCTTGAACTCTAATTACAATCAGCTGATTTCAGTTCACGTGTAAGAGGAGGAAAATAGTGACGCAGTCTAGAGCGTGGATATGAACTTTTTATTGCACAAAAGGACGAGATAAATGGCAAAGTGGAAAATCCTGGACAGAAACAACTGCTTTATGCTGCTAACATAACTTTGGTTCTTTGCAAGCATCCACCGAGAGAGCATGCTAATGATAAACTAGCCAAGAACCCAGAGTGAAAGCTCAGTCAATACCGACCTCAGCAGCCAGACCCTGAACTTCAACAGGTAACAAGCAGAGGAGCAAACAGGCTGCAGCCTCCGTTTCTACCTGTTCACGTTTCTAAAGCGGAAGGCGATTGCTTTTTTTGTGCTGGTTTTCATCTTTGCTTTGTTGCAGCTAGCTTTGGATTCTACTAAGAGAAAGATCTTAGAGATCTGTGTTCTCACTGGGAATTTGTGTTTGTGTGTGTGGGGTTTTTATATTTTTACATATTGTTATGAAATTAATATAACGAGTAGGATCACAAATTACTTTTTCCTGGGAGTAATCAAGTAATGTACCACATTACTTGAAAGAAGAATGTCCCGTGTAATATGTGTAATAATGACTTTTTTGAGTGACGACTCCAACACTGATCAAAGCAAAGAGGGCAAATACCTCAGCAAACATTTGACCCACAGCATGCAATTAATTTGCATGAATGTATTTTCTTTACTGCTGCTTAGCAATGATGGTGACTCTTGAAACTGAGCCAATGAGAACCTCATGACAATCAATAAGAGAATCGATAAGGGATCAAATAATGGAATTGGAATCTCTAAATTCTCATTAATTCCCATTCCTAATCCCTACCACCACACAAACCAGTTTTTGTATGCACTTGCACACACAAACCACTTCTTATTCTAGACGTGTCATGAGATGGATTTCGAGTTTGTGTGTGCATGTACGAGTGGGTGTACGTGTGTGTGTCGTAATTGAGTGTGCCTCACGTGGGTGATTGCTCGGGCCTCCTACATGTCTAAAGTAATCAAAAGGAGTGAATGTAACCTTGGGGCAGTTTACAGGAGCTCAGCACACAGACACACATATTAGTCTCAAACACATCTATAAAGAATATAATGTACACTCTTACAGGTATAGATTAAAAAGCTCACATATGTGGTCTTCAAGTACTATATGCAAATGCTTAGTTTTACTGGTGGCTTTGAGAGGTAGAGCAGCAGAATGACAATGAGCTGAAACAGGAGGTGCCACCCTGTGTGGCAACTCTGACACTGTGCCTGTCGGCCACATGTTACGGTACAGCAACTTAATATTAAATTTAAATTTCCCTCCATTAAGCCAAGTGTTCACAATTTTTTTTCTTGTCCTGTCCTACTTTTTTTTTAATTTTTTATCACTTGCACTATTTTATAATATCTGTTTTCATCTTGTATTTTCTTGGTGTGTGTTCCAGCCACCCACTCCGGGTCTGTGTGTGCTCCTTTGGTCACTTCCTGTTTTATTCAGCAGTCTCCTTTCTCATGTGTCCAGTTGGTTTGCTTCTTGTCTTTACTCACTGCTGTGATTTGCTGCTTTTTCCTAATTGTTTTCACCAATTAGGTTCCACTTGTGTATTTAGCCTCTGTTTAACCTCAGTTCTTTCTGTGTGCAGTGCACCCATGTTTTTCCCATATGTTCTTCATAGTATGCCTTTCAGTACACTTAGTTTGTTATTTGTTAAGTTTTTGTACATATTTTCTGTATTTTTGATTTTTTTTATAATGTTTCACTCCCTGTTTGCTATTTGTTTTTCTTCTTTGCTGTTGTCTGCTAGGCAGAGCAGCATCAGCACCAGAGATGCCAGTAGGATTAACAAATTGATTCACAAGGCTGGAACCATCACTGGCCAGAGTTTGGAGCCGTTTGAGTCAGTGAGGGACAGGAGGTCACTGAACAAACTGCTCTCCATTATGGACAACCCATCACAACTCCCTCCACTCCACACTACTAAGGAAGCAGAGCTCCTTATCCCTCTGACTGATTCAACCCAATTACCATAAATAACGCTTCAGGAAATCGTCCTGCTGTTCTCTCTCAGACTGTATAAAAACTCTTTGTTCTATGACAGATGAACACACCTGTCAGGTATAAGAAATCTGCCAATTTTAATTCATACTTAGCAGTATTATCATGATATAAATGCTGCATGCTCTTTGAATATGTGGGACTCAAACTAAATTCATCATATATATATACACAACAAGAGTTTTCTTTATCTTCATGTATCTCCATGATTGAACTCATTAACTTTAGTCATTGTTATCTGATTTGTAAAACAACATTTCCTGGATGATTCAATTTAAAACCTGGTGATGGTAACATCATTTAGGATAATTCTGTCAGTGACAGCTGAGAGTAATGGAAACAGTGGAGGAGGTGAAGGCTGACAGGTAATTGACTCCAACCTCTCTGTGTGACAGAGGAGGGGGATGTGTGGGTTTCTGTGTATTTACCACAAGTGTTATACTTGAGATCAATAACCTATATAATGGCTGTTACCGCAATCTTTTATTAGGTCAAGGTATTTTTCACTGACATTCCTGGTCTTTTTTTAATATATACACATACACACACACTCAGACATAAACCCCCAAATCCTTCTCATGCAGTCCTTTGCAGAGGTTTCAGGAAATGACGCATAGTACATTAGTTGGAACTGAGGACATTTTAGCCAAGTACCAAGATCTAAATCTTAGTCTTATGTCTGTGTCCACCACAGGTGTAAACATACACATACATATACACTTACCTAGAAGTCATTAAATTATTATAAGTATTTGCCATAAGGGAAGCTTGTCCTCAAAATATGAGTAAACATGTTAATGTCCCCACAACATTAGTAATACCAACACACACACACACACAACACACACACACACACACTATACACACACACAAACACACACACACACACACACACACACACACACACACACTTCCACAGATGCAGAATCACACAGAGGCCATCTGGATACTTGCAGGGTACTAATTCAATTGAAGCTAGAAGTCTATTTTTATGCCTGTTAACTGTACAAATGCAGAAGCACATTTGTGACTATAGAGACATAAATTCAGACTAAATTGATTTCCTAACAAATATATTCAGACTTTTATATTCAGAAGTTATAATTATTATTAAATGTTAAGCTTTGTTTTATCCAAGTTCAGGTTGATAGTGGAATTTTCTTCCACTTCATACAAGGGAAACTTATTTTGCTAGTTAACCCCTTAGCAGTCCTATTAGTCCCCTAAACCATCCAATGTCCCGTGGGCGGTACGTCCGACTGCTAACAGTTTAACACACATAATATCCTGATTACCTGTCAGGTACATTTCTTCTCCTTCTAGGAACATCATGTGACAGCGGGCACATCTCGCACAGCTGGGGTGGTAATGTTTTCCTCCAGCCTGCAGGAAAGGAAAGGAAAGGAAAGGAAAGGAAAGGAAAGGAAAGGAAAGGAAAGGAAAGGAAAGGAAAGGAAA